TCACCAAAGCCCAATAGGAAGGCCCAACTCAAAGCCCAAGTGAAATTAGGGTTTCTCATAAAATGACAATTAGGGTAAAGTGTTTCTCACTTAACCCATTAAGGACTTAATCCATTAAGTCCATCACTCTACTAGATAAGTCATATGGTGTGATTGGGTGTAATTCACAATTCCATTCCAATGGCCCAAATGTGGGTCCCGATAAGTCCAAGGCCCATATATCCAAAATTAGGGTTTTCTAAACCCTAATTAGGGTTTCCAACCCAATCCCAACCCAATAGGCCCAATAGCTAAGTCCTTAGATCCATTAGGGTTTCATTAGGCCCATTAGGGTTTCACTAGGCGGGCACCACCCACTACCACCTCGGGTAGTGGTGGTCAACGGCAGTGGCCACCACCTCACGGTGGTGGTTATGGTGTCTAGTCTATTTTTGTCCAAGCATCCAAAAGCAACCAAACGCAAGCAAAAGCACACCGCCACCCAACACGACGGTTGGTGGCGGCAGGAGGCGGCAGCCACCACCTCACGATGGTGGTTAGAGTTTCTTTTCATTATTCTAATTTCTAATTACATTTTACAATGATAAGTCTCAAATAAACACACACACCCACTAAGATACATAGACGGTGGTACATGGTGGCAGCCACCACCTCACGGCGGTGGTGGTGGTTGTTCTTGCAATTTCCGGCCAAAACTAGGCACACACAAGATGTACAGCCGTAGTAGAAGCACGACTACTCGTCCTTTGCTCGAAAATGGACCCAAATCACCCACCTATGGTGACCAGCAACGGCAGCTTGATGGTTGTCGTCGACGAACACGGCAATGGCGACAGCTTGTCGTCAACGAACACAGAGAACAGCGGCAGTGGAGAGAAGATGCGACTATGGTGGTGGCACTTCGACAAACTGAGGGAGAAGAAAAGACGAAGTGAAGCAGCAACGACAGAGGAGGATGGCAGCGGCACTAGGAGGCCCCATGACGGCGAAGTAGCAGCGACCAGGTGGTGATCGTCTCACCAAGGCGGCGGCTGGAGAGTAGTCTAACACGCAACGGCGACAACAACTCCCACAACTCCGGTTCCCGACGGTAGAATGAACGCGAGGTGGTTTGGGACCTTGACGACGGTGGTGGCGGTCGGAAGTTGGGAGGTGACGACTGCTAGAAGAGGGAGGCATAAGGGTGGCGGTTGGTGTTTGCATTAGGGTTAGGGTATGGACGGGTTATATATCCCGTAACCTTTGAAACTTCACCCCATAATGGCAAGTCTAGTCCCTCTCTTCCCTTTTTCTTTCAATCCTAGCCCAAAATTTATCCTTTAAACCCTGCCTCTTGAACCCTTTACAAATTAAGTCCGGATTTTACCAAACAGCCCCTCCCTCTACAAATCCTTTTCAAATTAGGTACAAATGATACCAAACACCCCTTGTCTTTTAAAAATCTTTAAAATAAGTCCCGAAACTTAAACTTTGCTATATAATTATTGATTTTAGGGCCACTATACATTCATTAATTAATTTATTTATTTATTAAATAAACGGGGTGTTACAAGTCAAAAACATATTGGGTCTATTGAACCCCCTTCGGTATCTTTCAACCGGTACTGGATCTATTTCACCCCCTTCGACATCTTTCAACTGGTATTGGGTCTATTTCACCCCTTTCGATATCTTTCAACCGGTATCGAGTCTATTTCACCCCATACAGCTAGCATATAATCATAACAGTAAGAGTCACAGAGACAACAAGCACATACAAGCATAACAAGAAATTGTCACAAAGATAACTATCAACCTCTAACATAATTCGGTGGGCCAGAATTGGTGCCTTCGACCCACGAGTATAGTGAAGGAAACTCACCTCTCGGCCGATAATCAACTACTGTTGTTCTCACGGTCAGCTACACCGGTGCTACTCCACACATAGATAATCATACAAGGCAAACCTTTAGTCTACCCTTCAAAACCAAGAGTTGACCAAAAGTAAACTCTAATCACAAGTCAACGCCTAAGGTCAACGGTCAACATTCCCATCAACTCACCCTCAAGTTGTGACCCGTTCTCTGGTCACATCGTGAGAATGGACTCGACCCATCCCCACTCAGTGAGTCGACTCGGTCACAACTCATCCAACCAAAATCCTCAGATTGGGACAACCTCATTTCTTACGTCATGAGATTCCCATTTCTCACATCGTGAGATGTTCTGACCAACTTTGAGCATTAAGCTCTTAATCCTTTAAGACATTCTTTGGGACCTTCCAGAGGACCTTCCTCGACCCTAAGGACTATAAAAATCATAGGTTTTCAGTCATGCATGTCCAATGCATGACTTAGATACTAACTAGGTCAAAAGAAAGGTAATAAGATCAAGACTCATTCTTGGAGTCTAAAACCAACACCAAAACTCAGATCCAAAGCCTCATATACAGAAGATGTATCAATGATCCATAAAGTTGCCAACTTTATGGATCCCATGCATGCTATACAACCCAACCATACAAAGAAACTCTAAAACCAAGATCTAGCATGCAAGAGGCAAAAAGGTAAGAGCTTTATGACTTACAGAGGTCCAAAAGCTCAGCAAGACCAAGAGGTAGAAGCTAGATTGCCAAAATGAAGCACCACAAGAGTCATTTTCCACTTTAATGGACCAAAAACCGCCAAATATTCTCTTCAAGGTCACCAACAATGGCCAAAGGTCTCAAGGAGGTCGAATCTAGGGTTTTCACGAAGCTAGAGAGTGAGAGAGGCTGAGGATGGGCAACCCTATCTCTCTCTCAATCCATTAAATACTCGAAAATTAGGGTTTTGGGTGATCAGGCTTTGCTCACTTTGTGAAGCCTCATGCTCACATCGTGAGATTCAATAATGTGGGTCAAATGGTCAATGGTCACTCACGTCGTGACTACTATGGCTCACGTCGTGACTACTATGGCTCACGTCTTGACCCTCCTTCAAAATGTAAGAATTCAATAAATTAAGTACCTCAAGGATTCGGATGCTACATCATAGCTATTGCTTCAGAATTGAGATTCATATATGTGTGAATACCTCTTTGCCTCTCTTCTTGAAGGATTAATGAATATGTTGTGGAAACTGGAGGCAACGACTTCATCATTAAGATTTGGCCATGAGTTACTTTGAATGATTCATCTAATCCCATGAGCATTTGAATAAGCCTTTGATCTTCAAGAAACTTCATGATCTCAACTCCAGCAACATAAGTACAAGAAGGAATAGCTTGAATTAACCAATCACAATTCATCCCAAACTCGAGCTAATTTGGTAAAGTATGTAGCAAAATCATCAGATCCTTGATTGGTAGAATACAGTTATTGTTAATTTGATAGATGAGTGTTCCATCAGCTTGCTCATATCGCTGATTCAATTCCTTCCAAATATCACAAACAGTTTGAAGGAATAGAACACTTTCAGTGATATTTTTGTGAAGAGAGTTCAAGATCCAACTAATCACCATCGAGTTGGCGCGATACCAATCAGAATATTCAGGCGAAGAAACAGAAGGTTGAGGAATCGAACTGTCTATGAAACCGATTTTATTCTTTGCAGATAAGGAAATAATCATCGATCTTTACCAAGCAATAAAACCTACTCCATTAAAGATGTTTGAAATAAGAATGGAGCTAGGGTTATCAGACGGAGCAATGAACAGAGGATTGGATGAATGTAATCCAAATGTTGGATCAGATCCGACGATGAACTTGAATTAGACATGATGAAAGCAGAATGATGAAATTGATTGAAGAAAAAAAAAATCAATCAACGAATTTTGATTGTACGCTCTGATACCATGTTAGTGTTTAAGTTTGAAAGAGAAGAAATGGATGAACTCATTGTATTGATTGTCTGAATACATCATTGAACTGAATACAAGACATAAATATACAGACGAATACATAACATCTTGTAACAAACTCTGCCAGCTAATCTAACTACCACAATAAGAAAAGACAAAAATACCCTTGACTTTAATTAACTTCACATTAATCAAACAACAACAAATTCTTATTCAACCAATTTGATACATTTTTTTGTAATAGACAAACCCTTTTTAACCATGCAATGGATTAGCAAATAATAGAAATATTGGCATTAGAATTTGGCAAGGAAAAGTTGTTACACGTGAATGAAGGATTGCTAATTGTTTCTGTCGTAAATAACTTGGAGTTGAAATAGGGCTAGTCATTAACATTTGTATTTATGATATCATTTTGTTGTAAAGTTGTAGGTGGAGAGTCTCTCCCTTGTTGAATGTGAATGAATGCAATAACAAGTTTTAGACATACCATTATCATCAAATGTTCTTGAACAGCCGTCACCCGTTCATGTCTACTTCATTTTATCTTCTCATTTCTTTCGTGAAAATCCTCTCCTTCAAGTAGCCTCCTAACGCAATCCTAAGTTGTCTCATTTGCATGTCTAACTAACACAATCTTTCTTCCCTCAAAATTCTGTTAATCATTATTAGTCCCAATTTATTTCCTAATTGCCGCATTGATATAATGTTTAGTAATATTCTATCACATGCCGACCATCAACATCCTTAAACAACCTTACAATCTTTAGAAAACATACCACTCGGTAGGTATGTGTTAAATTTAAATGCCACTAGCTAAAAGGAGTCAATAGTAATGCTACATAGTTAGACAACTTGATATCTAGTTTTATATTTTATTAATATAATTGTTTATATATTTAAACCCTTGTGAAGGTTAAAGCTACCATGTCATATGGCCCAAAAGATCCTACTACCTGTCACCGATAAGACCAATGTTAGCACAAAATAAGGTTCAACTAATCTTTATTTCCCTTTTTAAAAAAAAAGAAACAAGACCTCAGATCTCGTCAGTCATCCCACATACTTGAGTATTACTGATAACTGATAATTACATACTACCACACCCCACCACCTTCTCCTTTCTCCGTTTTTATAGGACTAATTAACAAATTATTTGACAAAATTTGCATTTGGGAACATATTGGTATGTGTCTCCACACCCTGTTCCCTTTTTTAAAAATACTCCAAGTTTCAAATAATCTTTCTCTTTCTTCTTTCTCTTTCTCTTTCTCTCTCACCATAGCACAACATCCAGAATCACTCGCAATAAACACACAAAAAACACTCGAGTGTGTAATCTGATCTCTGTTCTTTTACATTCATGTTTTCTTGCAGTTTACTTGAGTTTCTGTTTGTTCTTCTTCACTGAAATCTTGAAAAAAGGGGATCTGGGTGTTGTGCTAAAATACCTTACTTTCCATCTGGGTTTCCAAAGATTTTGGGGAAAAACCCAAAAGACTTAAAGATCCAACGAAATCCCTCATTAGGGTTCATTTCCATAAATTCTTGATTTATAAAGCTTCAATCTTTTCCCACGAAATTGATGGTTAAGTCATCAGGTTATAAAATGATAGGAACCAACGGTTTGTTCTTCCCGATACTTGGATTTGCGTCGATTATTGCTTTTATTTTTCTGTCTTTCGGGGATTTATTGTCTGTAAAATACAAAAACGAGATCAGTTTGAGTTTTGTGGAGAGAAATGGGACTAATTTCGTTGTCGATGATCAATTGTTTTACATCAATGGATGGAATTCGTATTGGTTTATGGACCATGCTGTACACGATCATAGCCGCGCAAGAATCAGAACAATGCTTCAAGCCGCTGCTAAAATGGGTTTGACTGTTTGTCGAACTTGGGCTTTTAATGATGGCGATTATAATGCTCTTCAGATTTCCCCTGGACAATTTGATGAAAGGGTATTTCAGGTATTTGATTCTTTTTATTTGTATTATTCATTTTGGATTACGCAGATTGTTTATGTGTAATGGGTTTTCACTGATTCTTCGTATTCTCTTTTGTTTTAATTCGATTATGATGATATATGATTTGTGTTTATAGTTTTCCAGATCGTAATTTATGATGAAATCATTTCAAGAATCTTTTTTATGCTTCACACATTAATAAATCACATAAAACTGTTGAAATTTTGTTGTGTTGAAGCACCATGTTCATGTTTTATTCATGTGGGAAACTTCCCACTTTTAGCAAGTTTCATGTGCTATTAAACATTAGGATTAAAAATGAAAGAAATTATACTTTTATGGGTTTGTTTTTTCAAAGTATAATGCCCTAGTAAAAAAAATTTGGAAAGTATATTGTTGTAATTGGATAAATTTTTAAAAGTACAATTCCTTAATAAGAAAAAAAAATCAAAAATGCATTGTTGTAATAGAATGAAATAAATGAGAGTATGTTGCTACTTCATGCATTTAGCCCTAAAGTTTATAAAAGAGTTAGGATTTTTGTTTTATGTTAAAGGTGGTATCTTGATAATTATTTATGAACAACCACTAGCATTAATTATGTTTTTCAATATCTTGATGATGTCATTTTTGTTATTTTCTTTAAACCTTCATATCAATTTTTGTTTGTAGTTGGAACACTTCATAATGGTAGGCGTTGGATGATGTCACTGAATGAATAAGTCATCGATTTTTTTTCATCTTTCGTTGAATATCATCTTCAACTCATGTGTGAAACTTTCCAATTTTAGTAACATTCAAATGTCGTTAAAAAAGTTAAGAAAAACACACTTTGACTCAAAGCCTATTGGTGACTTTTTTGTTATCTTGATTCTTATTTTATATTACCAGAAATGGCTTTTCTCTTTTAATTTCTAAAAAGTATCGAGTTTCTTTCCATAAAATACCCTAATTTTAGTTGTTTTTTACATGAAATCATGTCATCAAAGAATAAGCATCAAAAAAATGTTAAGAATTGTTTCCATCATCTCCGCTTATGTGGGAAACTTCCCATTAGGATCAAAGTGTCAAACACAAGAAATAGTAACATTCTTTCATTTATATGTTTATTATAGCATCCTACATTCATTTCTTCATGTTAGATCATTACACTTTCAATGTCTTTATTATTCAAATTATAGCATTGTGCGTATAACTTTTATCTTATTAGTTGTACAACAATAAAAAATGTTATGTATTTGAATGACACTGCTATAATTTAATAGCGTATTCAAAGTACAATAACGCATTTACACATTCCCATTATTAGCACCTTCTATATTCCCACTAAAAGACAAAAGAATAACCAATGTGAAGTCAACGAGTTTTTTCATCATCAAACGATCACTATTTCATCTTTTCCGTTCGTTTTCCTATAATGCCCTCATCATAGTTTTTTTTTATATATTTTGACTTTTGATGTCATTAATTATATACAACGGATGTTAATTTTAGGCATTGGATTATGTCATTGCTGAAGCCCGAGAAGTTGGAATAAGACTTCTATTGAGTTTAGTCAATAACTTGGATGCTTATGGTGGAAAGACTCAATATGTGAAATGGGCATGGGGTGAAGGTGTTGGCTTAAGCCCTTCTAATGACTCATTCTTCTATGATCCATCCATTCGCATTTATTTCAAAAATTATGTCAAGGTACTATTTTTAAATTCCTTTCTCTTTATCTATAAAATTTATAAGGTTTGACTTTGTCTTTTAGGTTTGTGAAGGGTTGAATCCAAGAAATAGCAACACTATAATTTATGTGTTTATACTTTATTATAACATTTTACTTTAAAGAATCTACCAATTGAGGCAACGTCATCCATATACATAGCAATTTTCAATGTTGTAATTAGGTGATTTTTGAAAGAATGATGTCCTAAAAAGTCAAAACAAATAAAAAATAAAATAGAAAGTACAATGTGTTAATTGAAAGTAATAAAAGTAGGATATGTTCTTAGAGTACAATGCGTTGATAAGAAAAAAAAAATTGAAATTACAATATTGTAATTGAAAGAAATAAAAGTAGGATGCTATAATACATAAATAAGTAAAAGGGTGTGAAGGTTAGTCGAATGTCCAAAATACCCCATCAAAATGATAGAATGCGGGAATTTTGTTAGATCTAGACGAGTCAAGTCAAGTGGCAAATATGTAATTTCATACCAAAGTTTTGTCAAATAAGAAAATGTCCCAATTAATTTAGAACATCCCAAAATGAGAACTCTTTCATCTTTCATGACAAATAGGAAGTGTATATAACGTTTTATTCTTGTAATGACAAATTTAATAAGTGTCATAGAGGTTATTAGATGATATTGTGATTCATGACATTGAAACCAAACTTTTTCTTTCCAAAATCACTTTTCACATAGGGTAAAAATTACCTATTTACCCTTTGCACCATTGAGTGATTTATATTTTATATATACATACGATTAATTAGTCTTAATTTTTTTTATATATTATAATTGTTTTAACTATTATATTCTTATGAATGTTTTAGACTATTTTAACAAGAAAGAACACAATCACGGGAATTGAATATAGAGACGATCCGGTCATCTTTGGCTGGGAATTGATCAATGAACCCCGATGCATCACTGACCGCTCTGGTGACACGTTGCAAGTAAGTTGAATAATATTTTTGTTCTTTTTCCATTAAATGTTGTCTGAATAAATAATGTTTTGAAAAAATATTGGAGAAAATGACGAGATATTTGGTTAAATGGATGGAAAAAATAAATGAGGACAAATTTATAAAAAAGTTAAAAGAGTTAATGGTATATTAATTATTAAGTCATTGTTTCTTTATAAGTCAAAAATGAGTGGCCCACTTAGTTAAATGGAAGGAAAAGGTAAATTAGGGCAAATTTGTGACAAGTTAAAAGACTTAATGGGAAAGCCTCATATTCCTGACTTTCTTTATTAAGTCGTTATTTATGTATAAGTCAAAAAGAAGCACCATATATAAACCTCGTTTCTTTTTTTTTTCTCAATGGCGAGCCTCGTTCTTTTTTTTTTTTTTTTTTTTTCTATCAAGTCATTCTTTCTGCATTAAGTCAAAAAGAAAAATGTATATATAGCTTACGAGATTAACTACATAACTACAGGATTGGATAGAAGAAATGTCGACCTTCATAAAATCAATCGACAATAAACATTTATTAACAGTTGGTTTGGAAGGGTTTTATGGTCCTAAGAGTCCGAAGAGAAAAAGAGAAAATCCTGAATTTTGGGCTGCTGATATGGGAGTTGATTTTGTACGCAATTCTGCACCCTCAACAATCGATTTTGCCTCTGTTCATATTTACCCTGATCAATGGTAACCCTTTTCTTTATCATCTTTTTTCAAGAATTGTACAAATCATTTTACTTTTCATTAGATAAAGAGTAAATTACACGAATGGTCCCTATGGTTTAGGGTAATTTGTGCGTTTGGTCTCTAACTTATTTTTTTAACTCGGAAGGTCCCTACTGTTTGTTTATGTTACGCGTTTGGTCCCTGTCTTACCTAAAAAGACTATTTTAACCTTGATTTTTTAATTTATTTAAATAAACTCACCCCCAACCCCACCCCCTCACCTTACCTTACATACCCCACCATTTTTCTCTATTTAAATAATAGTCTTTTTAGGTAAGACAGGGACCAAACGTGTAACAAAAACAAACAGTAAGGACCAAGCGAGTTAAAAAAATAAGTCAGGGACCAAGCGCGCAAATTACCCCAAACCATAGGGACCATTCGTGTAATCTACTCTTAGATAAATAAGAAAAAAGATTGGAAGTAAGATATGCTATTATTAGGTAGTTTACCAGAATACTATGCTTTCATAAAGAGATGCTATAATACACAAATATTATGAAAGCAAGTTGTTACTTCTTGCATTTAACCTTTTTATTAAAAGGTATTTTTTTGTAGTGATTAAACCATTCTACATTTTCTGACACTCGAAGGAAGCCGGTTTTATCTGTTGATATCTCAATAAAAATACTAGAAAAAAAAAAGGATAATGTATTTTTACCATTTACCAATTTAGTCATGGAACTATTGCTTTTTACTGATTTATCCACCAAACTATAATTACAATAATCGTAAAAAGATAGTTCAATTGCTAAATCGATAAAATAGTGAAATTACGTTGTGTTTTTCCTGTATTTGTCCTTTTTTTTCGAAACCAAGTAATTTTATATATTTAGCTTTTAGTTTTAAAATAATTTTATATATTTAAAAGCTAACAACTACTTTTACCAAACACTTCTATATAAATAAAAGTTACACAGCTAGTTTTGTGTAACATATCATTTATATTTTTCAATGCGACAAATATCGTATTAACAAATAACATTTTATGTAGGTTTAAAAACAAAAGTCTAGAAGGAAAACTAAAATTTGTAGCGGATTGGATGCACTCTCACATCGAAGATGGGGACAAAATACTCAAAAAACCCGTAATGTTTACAGAATTCGGATTATCGGATTTAAACAAAGGATTTGACCCTTCACAAAGAGACGAATTTTATAAAATTGTGTTTGATGTTATTTATGAATCCGCAAAGAAAAAAGGGGCGGGTGGAGGGTCGTTTGCATGGCAATTTTTGGTGGAAGGAATGGAGGATTTTAATGATGATTTTGGAATAGTTCCATGGAAAAGAGCTTCAACTTATCGGATTATAACCCGACATACGTGTAGGTTAGCAAAGATTCATGGAGTTGGTATGATGATAACACGAAATATGAAGAATATTTGTAAGGGTAAATGGTGAAAGAAAGTTAAAACTTTGTGATTTTGATGGAAATAATTGAGTTTGGAGTTGTGAAGTTTGAGGGTTTAGTTTAATAGGTATATCGTTATGTATACTTGTTTGATCATACAATACTTAATCTATAGAAAAAAGATTTTCACTTTAAGGCTCCTAGCTTTTAGGCTTATAAAAGTTAGTTTATCAATGTATTGTGAATTTTACAAGATAACTAATGCGATCGATGAGCTTTGTGGACTAGCAATGAATGCAATTTATACCATGTTTGTAGTAGAAAAAATGTCAAAACTTGTTAAATTGCAATAAACTAAAAAAAATATCAAAAAATAAAATGGTTTATAAGGTAGATTATGCACACCAAAGTGCCAAAAACATTAGCTTATTCACAAACACATCTAAATTGTGGCACTCTTATAAATTTGCACTTTTTCTATTTCTCCAATTTTATTTTTAAGATTATTATCCAAATAAAAAATATGTTGAGAGGTTTGGATTTGCGAGAAACAAGTACAAACTCACCCAAGATTTTGTTTGTTGCAAGTAAATGATATTAAACTCATTGATAAAAATAAGTATTTTAACTTTAATATGTAGTAATTTTATTTATTTTTAAAATATATATTTGTTTTTTTAATTGAATCGTTATATAAGGTACTAATCGTTTGATAATTATTAAACAATCAAATTAAATTGCTAACTTTGTAATTTTGGAATAGTTATTTTTCTCTAAAGCAATGAATATAATAGGAATGTAGATTCCCAACTGGCTTAAAGGATTATTTAATGCACAACTTAAAATCTAAGATCTACAATGGCATCAAAAATCTTTTTCAAGCTATGAACTCACTCAAAAACTCATTAAAAGGATCAAAAAAAGCACAGAATATAATTTGACACACAAAATATGAATTTACTGTAGCCTTCTTATAGTGGGCTTCAACATTGCTAAAAACCAAAGATTGTTGCATAAAGTTTGTACCATAGAGAAGCATTGATTTCAAGAAAGACATATACCCAATTTTCAGACTATAAAGCATTGATCCAAGTTTAAGAAAAAACAACTATGCTAATAACATTAAACCCTCGATTCATTCTGGCATTTCATCGAACAGTTGTACTACAATGGAGTTTACACGCGCTTTACTGATCTTGGTGAAATCCTTGAAGAAGATGAAGCAACAATTTTTTCTTCGCCCACCTTTCTCAATCTCTTCTTACCCTTCGAAAGTGTCTTAATCGGCTCCTCAGTCGCTGTTTTCCGACCACGAGTCCTTGAAGCGATTGTGGGCATCTCAGGCTCAACACCTTTAGAGCTTCTCGCCGGGCTTTTCTTTGTATTCGCAACGAGATCAAACTCATCAGAAAGCTTCCTCACCGGAAACTTCCTAGCTGACATGTTCTCCTCACCCTCATCATCATCCTCATCAACCAAACCCAGAAACCGCCTCTTCCGCTTGTTAGCTAACGGAGCTGGCGGCGGCGACGGACTTCGATCAAAATCAGCGCTTTGCTTCTTTTTGGCTGATTTTTCGAAGGATTTAGAAATGGGTTTTTTCTTCGACGACGAAGGGCTTAAGGACTCCTTCTTCTTGATTGACTCCTCGATCTGGCTCCGAAGCTTCTCGACGTTTCCTTCAATGCGCCCTTGAAGACGATGGCGCTTGAAGTTCAAGCCACCCATTGACCAGTGAGCTTCTTCTGCCCACGACATTAGAGGATCTGTAACAGAAACAGGTGGGTCGACTCGGTAGGAGTTGTACTTGATGTCTGTGTAGATCCGTGGTCTTGGGAGGCCGCTTCCGTAAAACTTTCCGGGACCTAAAGCCACCACCATCTCTCGGATCTCTCTGTAAAAACACAAACAGAAAGCAAAAAGATATATATGGTTTTGTGGCGATTAGGTCTAAGAAATGAAATGAAGATGTCTAAGTGATGTTTCAGATAGATATGGCATCTTATAGATAGTGATTTTGGGGTTTTTATGGCGGGAGGGATATAGCGCGCCAAGCATTTTAGGCGGGACAGCAAGGTTTTTAGAGTTTGAGGGCGCCAAGGTAATAATGTGGAAGCGGGCCAAGTTGGTTTGCAAATAAATACAGTATTTTTTTAGTTTTTTATTTTAATCTTTAACTTTTATAATAAAATGGAATTTCATGAGAAATACATTTGTATTTATATTATATATAATTTAAAATGACTTTTATTGATTTATAACCATTGTAATCAGTCTTTTTGTACTATATAAATAAAGTATATTGGAGTTGTCATATGGATATGATTGTCGTGTTATGTTGAGGTATACATAATGAGAATAGATAGTTGAGATAAAATTCATGATTTTTATTCAAAATTAACATCATATGTTACCTTTATATTTTTTAGGCATTTGGTGTAAAACAATGTGACTTATGTGTGAAGCATGACTATTGAGGGAGTTTTCATACATCACAAATGAAATAAGCACAGGTGTTAATAGTGAATGTATGTTTTTCTTGATGATATATATGTTATAGGTTATTACGGAAATTTAGTCGTTTTTCTTTGCAGTTCAGTTCTATATGTGTTGTTTTGCATACACTTGTGAGAGTGTTGCATGACATTCTTGTCGTTTTAACAAACCAAAAAGTCCACTAATAAAGAACAATATAAAAATAATGAAAAATAGATGAGTCATCGCTTGACAATCAAAAATGGAGTAATTATTACAATGAATAACTTTTGGCATGGGAGAGATTCCTACTACTTTATCTAACTAGACAAATACTATATTTTTTGTGCACACTAAATAAACAAATGACCTCTCTCTCTCTCTCTCTCTCTCTCTCTCTCTCTCTCTCTCTCTCTCTCTCTCTCTCTCTCTCTCTCTCTCTCTCTCTCTCTGTGTGTGTGTATATACATATAGGAACCTTCTAAAACATAAATGGAATATTCTAACATGACTATCACTCAACATTGTAGGGTCTTTTCGTGCTCTAACAATCTCCCAAAATTACTTGGAAAACGGTGAAGGAACTTTATAGTCCTCGTGCAATTGTTGTTGAGGGTGCAGAGTATATGGTTGCGAATTCACTATCTGCAGTTGTGTAACACTCTATTTCGAGTCGTTTCTTAATTCAGGGTCGTGACCCGAAGATCATTAATCATAAGGCGTCAGGCTTTGAGGAGGGAGGGGTTTAGACCCATTTAGATGCGGGTAATATAGGTTATGTTATCCAAGAGTTCGGTTTGCGCTTTGGAGCCCAATGGTATAATGGTAAAAGCGATGTTTCAGACTTTTCATGAATTAAGGATTAAAGTTCAGAAGGTTTTAAGTCAAAGGAAAATTGATAGGATTATAGGGCTTTTCATTACCTTTATGAGCATATAACGAAAACCGAAAACAGATTAGGGACGCGGAAGTTATGACCGTTAAAAGTTATGAAATTTGGGTTAAGTCGAGTACGTTGGGTGTACGGGACAGGATTGATCGCGGAGGACAACCTAGTATGTTGGGCGTACAAGGAGTACGTTGTGCGTACGCGACCCATACGCAAACCCTAATTTTGGGTCTTGGATCCTATTTAAAGGCCTTAACTCGTTTCCAACCCTCATTACCTTCAGCCTCCATCCTCTTAAGATGTTCCCTCAAAACCCTATCCTTATTTGAAAGATTATTGAGCCTTTTAGTGATTTCGGTGGGTTTTTTGTGCATTTGGAAGAAGAAGAACTCATTAGAGAAGTGTTGGTTGTCTTGAAGCTTGTAGATCCAGGCCTTGTTCACCTTGATATATCTTTAGGAGGTATAAAGTTTCAAACTTGGTAGTTATTTGATGTAAATCTAGCCTTAGGTCATGATATGAGCATGTTTTGGTCCCATGATTTGGATCTTGTGAGTAGAAGTTACTCCATAACCTTTGAGCCCCATTTTCTAATCATTTCGATGTCATTAAGTTATAAAAATTAGAGCTTGATGAGGAAACATCTTCCATGCATGAGTTAGTTGCCTTTTGGTGAAGTTATGAATTTTAGGCTTTGGTTTGGACCCCATTAAGCCATGCAAAGTCATAAAGTTAGGAACTTTATGACTTAAGACCCGTTGTATGGTTTTAAGTGTTATTAAAATGAAAATTTTTCTTTGATATTTGGGACGTTACAAGTTGCTTCATCGGTGTCGCTCCCATTCATTCTAAATTATTCTTCATCTTATGAGCTCTCACTACTTCATGAATGTTCATCTATCTTAGGGGTGTTGCTTGGTTTTATAAAACCGACGTCTGAGATTTCATCGAACTTAACTTTATTTTTTTTCTTCTTAATGTATTTTCCTATTGGGCCTTGATGCAATCTCATTGTTATACAATACATTTTTATTGAGCACCACATCCCGCATTCTGATAACCGTTTTGTTATGGTTATCACATAAGAGATCGATGGGTTTCGAGCCTCATTAGAACAAACAAAAAGCAGCGGAAACGATAAACATTTTGATCTAATACTCGAAACATATTGATGCAACGTGAAAAATGGAACAAAGAAAATAAGAGTGAACCTGTTGGTTCTAACAGAATATCCAAGACAATCTCTTCAAAAACCAAGTTGATTCTAAGAATACTATATGATTGGCTTCAAAATATCGTTTATAACACACAAAATTTTCGGAGAAAATTGAAATTTCATAAAACTAATCATCAACCATGCAAATTACATCATCAATAGTTAAATAAGTAGCAAAAATTAAATCTAAACCCTAAATGTAACACCCAAAAATTCAAACCAATTTAAACTTTTAAAAACATTTCAAACCATTAAAAATCATTACAACTTTGTTTTCAAAATGTATAATATCAGAGTTTTCCCAGAAACATAGACAAAACATGAGGCGCTGTACGATCACGCCTTCGCCTTGCCGCGATCCTCTGATGTACCTGAAACAATAAACTGAAACTGTAAGCCCGAGAGCTTAGTGAGTTCCCCCAAAATACCAATACACATACAGTCCATATAAACATATCATAACAAACTGAAAAACATGTAATGGGTCCCCAGCTTTACATGCTGGATTACCCCTGAGCCCACAGTACGAGTCTCCCTTTAGCCCATAACTGGAATGCTCCCGAGCCCACAGTACGAGTCCCCCTTTAGCCCGTAACTGGAATGCTCCTAAGGTCTGTTGGCTACCGCACGGAGCAGTACAACCTCAACCCATCCCACATAACATATAACATACCACATAACCACTGAGCATGCGATAATCATATAACATCACAGGTAGTCCTACAGGTCTACCTAACTGGCATAACTACTAGCATGCAACACTAACTTATACTCCACATCTAACACTGCTAGGATAACATATCCAATGGGCCGGCCTTGGTGCCTTAGACCCCTTAGTATAGTGAGGATAACTCACCTTGCAACTGTCGTCTGAAACTAGAAAGCTCAACTCCCGGATCACCAACACGAACTCCACCACCTATAGTTACCATAAAACCCTTTTTCACAAATCTCCAAATTACCAGAATACCCTCAGAAGTCAACTGGTCAACTCTTGGTCAAAGTCAAAGTCAACAGTCCATGTTGACTCGACTCGTCGAGTGCAGTTCACCGACTCGTCGAGTCCTTCCTGAACTCGAGAAGTCGTGAAATCCTTGATTGGCTCGTCGAGTTCCCCTTTAACTCACATAGTCCATACGTGTCCAAGAATTGGGAGAAACCCTAGCTGACTCGCCGGTCTTCGAATGACTCGCCGAGTTCAAGGCAATCTTCAACGGACTCGCCGAGTTTGTTCATCAACTCGACGAGTTCATGACCATCTTCATATGACTCGCCGAGTTGACTATGCAACTCGCCGAGTCCTTGCAGACCTTCATCCATGTAGACACTTTTCAAGCCATGCCAAGGTTCCAGATTACAGATCCAAGCTTCTATGGCATGTTTATCACGTAAAGTTGCAAACTTTACACGCATGCAAGGCCCTAAAGGCTCTAAATGACCAATCTAAGCTTCTAATGGAGCTTTACACCATACGAGAGTCTCATCCTTGCAAAATCTGGAAACTTTATGGACTTAGGACTCAAAAGAGGTTCAGATCTGAAGTTTCAACTTCAGATCTAGCTCCCATACCAAAATCCCTTCATGAATAACTAAAGAAAGCCCTAGTTTCCACATATGAATGATTCTAGAAGAAAAAGAGGTTAAGGTAACAGTTGGTTACCTCCAAAACGTGCCCAAACTGAAGTAGACTCTGGATCCACACATAAATCTTGATGCTAACCTCTTGATCTACAAATTTCCTTCACAAAAGTCACTTCCCAAAGCTCCAAAACACTCCCCAAGCTCTCACTCACGAAAATTAGGGTTTCTGGGTCTCAAAAGGGTGATAGAGGACAGTGGGAGGCGCTAATGGTCCAATATATAGGGTGCAAAACCCTGAAAATTAGGGTTTCCACTGCCAGCTCCTACTCGTCGAGTCCCTCATGCCGACTCGACGAGTCACTCATTAATTGACGTGTCCTGGCCCGCTGCTACTCGACGAGTCAAACGCCAACTCGTCGAGTAGACCTTAGACATGAAGTCTAAATGGAAAAATTAATAATACCTGACGGTTGGGATGTTACAATTCTCCCCCACTTGACTTAGACTTCGTCCTCGAAGTATGCTGTAGCGAATAACTCTGGGTAATGCTCCCGCATCTCAGCCTCCGACTCCCATGTCCACTCGGATCCCCTCCGATGCTCCCATTGTATCTTTACCAACGGGACCTCCTTGTTGCGCAGGAATTTCACTTTCCTTTCCAAAACGGCAATCAGCCTCTCAATATAATTCAGGCGCTCATCAATCTGAATGTCATCTAGT